TTCCTTCCTTCCTTTCTTTAACACTATTCTACTTTATGCATTTATTTATTTCTTACAATATCTTTTGAGCTTATTCTTTCCCCCTCCCCCAACTCCTTCTAGATCCTACCTTCCCAACTTCATGTTCTTTCTTTGTCTTTCATTCAAAAACAAACAGTGAAAAAGCAAAACAATCAAAAAACAGAGCAATCAAACAAAAACAGGACAAAACAAAAAGCTCACAAAAACCCACGAGTTTGTTCTCTGTTGGTCAACTACTCCTGGGCCTGAATGTAGGGGCCTGTCCTGGGGTGTGGATGTTACACCCCGTGACACGGCATTGGAGAAAACTGGTGTTCCCTTTCCCAGCAGGTATCTACTGCAAATAGCGTCTTGCTTAGGGGTGGGACCTTGTGTCCACTTCCCCTTCTCAGTGCTGGGATTTTGTTTAAACCTGTGCAGGTCTTGTGTTCTTGGTCACAGTCTCTGTGAGTTCATATGTATATTTAGCCCTGGAATGTGTGTGCGTGCGTGCGTGTGAGTCTGTGTGTGTGTGTGTGTGTGTGTGTGTGTGTGTGTGTGTGTGTGTGTCCTGAGACTTAGGACAATCTTCCTGCCTCTACCTCCCGAGTGCTGTGATTGCAGGTATCTGTTACCAGGATTGATTCAAAATAAAGATTTGAAATAGTGTAGGAGAGAGAAAGGAAGCAGCGGGGGGGTTAGTGTGTGGTCCGCTGAGAACGGATAGCCGGGGCTGGGGCGGGTAGGCGTGGAGTAGTGACTCACCAGAGGCTGTGGTTCAGATGAGGAGGCATACTGGTGACGGAACTGGGCCAGAGGTAGTGGAGATGGATGAGATGGACAGACCGGAGAGATTTAGTTGGATCAACAAGACTTGTGACTGACTGCAGGGGATGAGGAGAAGGCAGGGGCCCGTGACAAAGCTCAGGTATCTGTCTTGCACAACAGGATAGAGGTTTGTGTGTTTACTAAGAGGTAGACAATTAGAACATTTGGAGGGCAGGCTGGCAGATCAGTTTTTGTATACCAAGTTCGATATGGTTGTAAGACATCCAAGAGATGATCTCTGACACACAGTTGAGTATGTACACACCCAAACTGAGACAGGCTGTGGACTTGGGGGAGGGGGTTAGTTTAACGTAGAACGCACTTGCATAATGGCTTGAGGAGGAGAAGTAGGAAGACACAGGAGTCAGTGGATCGTGGGTCCTGGGGGATGGGAGGGCACGAGTCAGATGTTGGAGGCAGCTTTGAGGTACTGGGGAGGAAAGCCTAGGAGCCGGACTAGCTGGTTAAAACTTGGTCCTCTCACTCTTGAGTCTGAGTGTCCTCGACTGTAGAAGAGTGAAATTATGAGGGTCTGCCTCATAAATTTGTTCTGCTGATTTGAGGCAATAGTGCAGATAATGTGCATGTTTTTCTAGGTGCTTGGCCATCTCTCCTAGGTGGTAGCACATGAGGTTACTATGCACCAAGCAAAATGGTAAGTTACTAACAACTGCTAGGATAAAAGGAGGCCAGGCAGACAAGAAGCGTAACAATTTCTTCAGGTGGTATCTGCTTTTTCCTTTTCCTTTCCTCTCCTTTCTTCCACCCGCCCCCCTCTTTTGCTTTTTGTAGCATTGGCTAAGTCAAGGCAGTTGTGACCAACAGAAGTTCAACCAGCTGCTGCTCATTTAAACCACCAAGAGTTGCATCTTAATTAAAGCAAAAATAAGATCAGCAGAATTGCTCCTCATTCTGTAGCTTTAATACTGAAACTTGTTTGTATAACTTTTTTTCTGATTGAGTTTTTAAATAGATGCTATTTTAAAGGATGATTTTTATTTTTATTATTTTTAATTATGTGTAGGTGTGTGTGTGTGTGTGAGTGTGTATGTGCATGCACATGTATGCATATGCACATGAATTTGGGTATATGCACATGAGTGCAGGCACTCTCAGAGGCCAGAATCATTGGATCTCCTGGAGCTGCATTTACAAACAGTTGTGAGCTACCAATAGTAAGTGCTAAGACCTGAACTCAGGTCCTCAAGAAGAGCACCAAGTAATCTAAACCACGAAGACATCTTTCAGTCCCTATTTTTATAACAGATTTATTTTTAAAATTGAGAAGATTCCACAGAGAAAGTTATGGTTTGTTCCATTTCCCTGGCATACATTTATCTATCTATCTATCTATCTATCTATCTATCTATCTATCTATCTATCTATCTTTAGGCAGGATTTTTTTGTGTAACCCTGCTGTCCTGAAACTCCTTGTAGACCAGGCTGGCCTTGAACTCATAGAGATCCACCTGCCTCTGCCTCCTGAGTGCTGGGATTAAAGGCATGCACCACCACCTCCTGGTAGTTTTTTGTTTGTTTGTTTTTTAATGAGGTTTTACAGTGTACTTCAGGCTGGACTAGAACTCACCATGTAGTCCAGGCTGGCCTCAAACTTGTGGTGGTCCTCCTGCCTCATCCTTTTAAATACTAGAATAGCAGATGTGACCTTCTAGACACCCATTTTGCATTAAAAAGTTTTTCACTTTGGCATTTCAGGATCCCATACATGAGGTCATGATTTATTCAGCCATCACATAGCATCAGAGCCCTCTTAGTTGTGAGAGTCTCCTGTTTGCCTTGTCTTTGCTGACCTGGAAAATTACTGGTCAAGCATCTGTAGGATGCTCCTCTATTTGGATTCCTTTGCTATTTTTCTCACAATTAGACTGAGCTTGTGAACTTAGGTAAGAAAGATCACAGAGGGAAAGTGCCATATTTCTTGTATCCTGTCTAGGGAACATACCATGAACATGATGTATCACTGTCGATGTTGACCCAGATCACCTGGCTGAGTGGGGTGTCGGGTTTCTCCAGTGTAGAGTTCCTTCTCCTTTCTGCTTGTACTCTGAAAAAAATAACCTGTTAGGTGCTGCCTTCATTTAAGGAGTAGGGCAGAGTGTGATGGTGAATGCCTGTTACCCTAGCACTAGAAAGGCTGAGGCAGGTGGATGGAGAGTCTGAAGCCAATCAGCAAGAGAGAGAGAGAGAGACAGAAAGACAGATACACAGACAGACAGACACACATAAGGCGGGGGGGGGGGCAGCGCAGAAAAGGAATAGGGAGCTACAGTCTTGAAGAAGTATCTGCCTGCACATATTATTTGGGGTTTTCATGCATACAAAGTTTGTCTCTTCTTCCCCACTTATTTAAGTATTCATTAATTTCTTCTATTATTTGGGAGGAGGCAGGAGGATCAGAAGTCCAAGGCTAGCCTCAGACTGAACTTCAGGAGATCCTGCCTCCAAGAACCAAAACAACAAAATAGTAATTTCTTCATACCAGTTGGAACTTTTTGATATTTATTTCATGCATTCATTGTGTTATAATCCATTTCGGTTCTTTTTATTGGAAAATGGTTGTAGAAGCCATGACCTGCTGTCAGGTATGTTCTATTCAAAGAAAGTGTGTGTGTGTGTGTGTGTGTGTGTGTGTGTGTGTGTGTGTGTGTGTTGTAACACGAATTTCTAAACGGTCTTATTAAATAAAAACTCAGGGGCCAGGTATTGGTGTGAATTCTGAAAGATTAGAGAAACAGAACCAGCCACATCCAACTTCACCTTGCCAATTCCTCAGCTGATCCTGTTTCCTCAGACTGGAAGCCTCTGTGATCTCATCCAGAATGAATCTCAGCTGAACTGTTGCTAAAAGCCTATAACCTTAACAGGCTCTAGTTCCTGGTCCTCACGAGTTATATACCTTTCTGCTTCCTGCCATCAATTCCTGGGATTAAAGGTGTGAGTCACCATGCCTGGCGGTTTCCAGTGTGGCCTTGAACTCACAGAGATCCAGATAGATCTCTGCCTCACAAGTAATAGGCTTAAAGGTGTGTGTGCCACCATTTTCTGGCCTCTATGTCTGTCTAGTGGCTGTTCTGTTTTCTGAACCCAGATAAGTTTATGAGGATGCACAATATTTTGGGGGACACAATATCATCACAGTGTGTGTGTGTGTGTGTGTGTGTGTGTGTGTGTGTGTGTGTGTGTGTGTGTGTATTTTACTGGAAATCAAAACCAGAGCCTTGTGACCTGAACAAATTTAAATTTGATCACTGACCTGCAGTGTTGGAGTGCATCATGTTTATGTGTGGTTCAGATGTGGTCTTGATGCATGGCCCATCTGGACTGGGTTTTACCATCCTCCTGCCTCAGCCTCTGCCTAAGATTACAGGTCCTAGCATAGTTCACATTTTTCTTTTAAATACTCATTTTATATGTATGAATTTTTGTCTGCATGTATATATGTGCACTATGTATGTGCGTACCTGGTGCTCTGAGGTCAGAAGAGGACATTGGATCTCCTGGAACCCGAGTTGACAGATGGTTGTGAGTGGCTACGTAGGTGCTGGGAATTGAACTCAGGTCCTCTGCGAGAGCAGTGAGTGCTCTTAACCTCTGAACTGGCTAGCTCTCCAGCCCTTCTTTCTTGTATTTAATAAGTCAGAGTTCAACCAGAGAAGCAGAACTCATAGGTGATGAATGGGAAGAGATTTACTACTAGGTACTGGCTTCAGCAGTTCCTGGCCCTCCCAAGGTATGTATGGTAAGTCTGTGGAACTGGCCTTCAAGAAAGGCAGACAGAGCCTCCCAGGCATAGGCTGCCCTTGGCTAGGGCTGCCGTCTACAGATGAAAATTCTTTCGTCACAGACACTTCCACTCTGCTCTTATAGCAATCCCATTGATTAAATCAGTCCCTCGGGTCACCTCAGAAACTCTTTCTTACATAGAATGAGGTCATCATGGAAGAACCCACAATACCATTTAAGTAGGTGTTTATTGACCATCTTGGCCCTAGAGCCCAGGCAAATCCACATACCAAAGGAATTTCATATCTTTAAGGAAGATTCTAAACCCAAGACTTCTCATTGACCAGGGACCATTAATGTATGGTTTCTGGATTACTGTGAAGGGTCCTGTTACGAATCAAAGTTCTTATTTTTTAAGTTATTTTTGTGCATTCACTTATTCTACAGTACATATACTAAAATCTGAACAAGACAGAGATTAACATGGCCCTTGAGCAACGATGACATGAAAATCTGTGAGTCACTCCAGATTTTTTTTAAAAGAACCCTCTTTTTTGGGTGTGGTGGTTGAACCTAGAGCCTCATGAATGCTAGTCAAGACCACTACCACCGAGCCACATCCCCAGGCACAGGCTACTAGCTCTTTAAGATGCATGACAAATTGCTTGTCTTTTGGCAGATGATACTGAACACACTAATCCATTTGTCATGCCCCAGGCACCATTTTGAACATCTTTAGCATACTGAGCTGAGCAACAGGGAATCTTCAGGCCTCCTGAGGCCTGGAGGAGTCCTTGCCTTTATGTCAAGGGACATCATTCTTCCAGACCTAACGTTCCTCCGCTGTGCATCGGCTTCCTCCCCCGGTCCTTTCTGAAGGCCCCTCTCCTCTCTTCTTCTGCACACTGCCTGGAACCAACTAGGCCAGGAGAGCTGCAAGGAATACAGAGTGCTGGGGGGAGAAATCTCCCTCAAAGAAGCCTCTCCTTGTCCTTGAGCAAAGCATCAACTATGGGAGAGATTGCTCAAGATCGTTATCCATGATGAGTATGTACAGTTCTGAGCTATGAGTACAAGGGCACCTTTGGGTTGCTCCTTTTCTTTTTTTTTTTTTTTTTTTTTTTTTTTTTTTTTTTTTTTTTTT